TGGGTGCTCCCTGCCCAGAACACATTGCCCATGAAAAAAGCACTGAATGGAGAGAAACAGCTCCGTTCTCATTTCAGATACAAGGGCACACATCACTGAAAAATTCCCTAAGGAATGCAACCACACAGTGAAGCATGGCCTCACATCTGAGATTCAAACCATGTCTAAAATTTGTGTCATGACCTGAAAGTGAAAATCCAGTGTCACCTAGCTGTGAAAATTCCTGCCTGTGTAGTTCTTAAAGATAGTTTTAGTAACACTATCTGGTAAACAACACTGGGCCAGATTATTGGGTGTAGCATGGCTGCTTGCAGCAAACTGCTAATGTCATGTGGCGGTAAACCTGGCTCCAGGAGAGTCATCCCAGTACAGAAGTGAACCTGCAATGGTATACAGTAATAGGTGTTTGTGTGCCACACTTCCTCCCTGTTAACCAGCTTGTTGTTGTTATAATTATAATTATTATTATATTGTATTACCATAGCAGCTAGGAGCCCTAGTCATGGACCAGGACCTCACTGTGCTAAGCGCTGAACAAACACAGAACAAAAAAACCAGCCTCTGCCCAGAAGAGCTTACAATCTAAGTAAAGCAGAGGGTGGCTACAGAAAAGGCGTGAATGTGATCAGGATGTTTCTATGTCACATTCTGTGGACATTAAGGCCAGCATGAATTGCAGTCTTACTGTACCTAGCCCTGGCAAGACTGCTATGCTGGGACCTACTAGAGGGGGCAGAGTAGGGCCAATTACATCAGCTCTTTGGTGCTTTTCCATCGGGGAATACTTCCATTGCTATATATACTGCTTTCACAAAAGCAAACTAAATTTGAAAGCTAAGGACACAATGCATCATTTACCACGGCAGCAGGCACTGATGTTAAGCTGTTCACAGCCTCCAGAATCAGTAAATTGCTCTACAAGGAAAAATATCTGTTAGCAACATTACTTGATGTGCTCTTTAGGGGCAGAACTGAAGACACTGCCAGAGCCTACAGATCTAAATCACTGTGCATCTTATAGGCTGCAAGGCAGACATTTTGTTCTGCTAGTTCTCTACACAAGATAACATGACAGAGTCATCAGAGGACATTTGTAATACCTTTTATGGTCAAAGCATGTATAAGCATTTCAGCACCTTCATATCTCTGATCTTTGGTAACAAATTGAGGGGCTACATTGCTTAATTTTGCACTTGTTACTATCACATACTAAGTGAAATCTAAATATTAAATCTATCTATTTAGCAATGCACCCCAAACACATCTTAAAATTACAGGATGTTGTTCAAGAAATTCAGACCTTTATGGCCAAAGTAAATTGTAGGCCTCTCCTGTCACACTAAAAAAATAAATCTCTTTATCTCAGTCATTTTGCCTTGATGGAAATTCTATTGTTGCTATGTCTATAGTAATTAAATAGTGAAGGAGGGTTATAGATACAACAATAAAACATTTATGCTTCAACTTCTCTGGCATAGTTTTATATGGCTAATAACAGGCTTTTTTCACTTTATATATCCTTAAATAATTAAGAAAATTACATTAAGTGTATCAGGTTAAGTCTGACAGGGGAGATTTTTAAAATATTAGACCTATTTTACTTAACACAAAGTAACTTCATATATTCTCAAAGACCATAATTAAATATCAGCTATAATCACCCAAAAGCATAAACAACCATAATAAAGTAATATTTTTTCAAGATTGAGAAATGGAAGCTAATTAACAGGATTAAAATGCCTTGGTTGTAACATTAATAGGCACTCTTAACCTTGTGGACACTAATTTTCCCACTGTATGTGAGAGCAAGACATACTTTACATAAAACCTTGGTTAATTTATTTAGTTCTTTATTTGTATTGAAGAATCACCTAAAGGTCCCAGCCCTGCTGTACTGAACACTGTAACAAAAAGATGGTCCCTTCCCTGAAGAGTTTACAAAACAAGACAAGAGACAACAGGTGGATACAACAGGCGGATGCAACAAGCAGACTGCAGGAAACACAAGGTAACAGTAAGTCAAGTACGATCAATGTCATAAGCAGCAGTTACAGCACTTCAGCTGCCTAACCACTGAAAATTTCAGAGGACTTTCCCTTAACGTTTGTACAAATCTAGGGACAGATCCTCAACTGGTGTAAATTGACATAGGTCCATTGACTTCAAAGGAGTTATGACAACTTACACCATCAGAGGTTCTTTCCTCTACAGTTTTTTATTCGTTCTCCAATGTTTGTAACACCATCTTAGAAACATGACATTTTACCTCTTCACGTTTATTCTTTTCTGCTTGAGACATTAATTATTTTTTAACCTACGATTGAAAACATGGCTGTTTTCATTTTAGAACAACCTCCTCTCTGACTTGCATAGTAGTTCACTATGATGCTACATCATTACGAGCCCCCATCCCATGTAGACTCACAATGAATCCAGCAGGAGTCCATGTGAATGGATCTGGTCCTTAGTGTGCCAGAATGATGGATTTGATAGCTCTCAGTGTTGGTCAATGGCCTGTTGCTGTGTATCCACAGAGGAAATACAAGATAATATTTTTGTTGGGAGACATTAAAATAGTGGCTGTTTTGTTTTGTTGGGTCGATATAACTTCTGTAATTTTTTGCAAGTTATGTCATGTCTCATCAAGGCAAGGGCTGTTCTTTTTCATTCCCAATTGCTTCCTCTGTCTTTAACACTTTAACCTGTCTGGCCATTCTATGACAGACCTGCGGGTGGCTATCTTAAAACAGAAAAACTTCAAAAACAGACTCCAACGAGAGACTGCTGAGCTGGAATTGATATGCAAACTAGACACAATCAACTCAGGGTTAAATAGGGATTGGGAATGGCTGAGCCATTACAAACATTGAATCTATCTCCCCTTGTAAGTATTCTCACACTTGCTTCTTATCAAACTGTCTGTACTTGGCTATCTTGATTATCACTTCAAAAGTTTTTTTTCCTCTTACTTAATTGGCCTCTCAGAGTTGGTAAGACAACTCCCACCTGTTCATGCTCTCTGTATGTGTGTATATATATCTCCTCAATATATGTTTCACTCTATATGCATCCGAAGAAGTGGGTTGTAGCCCACGAAAGCTTATGCTCTAATAAATTTGTTAGTCTCTAAGGTGCCACAAGTACTCCTGTTCTTTTTCCTCTGTCTTGTCACTCTGTAGATTTTAACTATTTTAAAGTACAGTTTTAAAAAGCTATATGAAAACATGGTCATATTGGCAAAATGAGACCCACAGGGCTTCGGGGAGAGAATCCCTCCCAGCTTTGCTTCTGTAGAGTTCCCTAACACCCAACCACATTACTGAAGCTTAGCAAGGAGGATAGAGCTTGGTACACATTGAGCATTATAGTTCTGGTTATCCACATATAGTACTTGCCCTATATTACAGAGCTCAGATACCATGGTAATAGGTGGGTACAAATAATGGGAGAACAACACTGATTGCCCAGCAGGTTTCATCTTAAGGGCCATATTCTGATCCCTTTATTCACACTGAATAGAACTTAATTCTATTCCAAACAGTCCCAGTGAGTTCAATGGAGATATTCACGGAGTAAAGTGCTAACCAAAATGAGACAGTCAGAATCTGGCCCTCAGTATTTGATAAAAACAAAAAGAAAAAAATAACAGCTTCCTTGCCAGTACTCTGATTGTTTCCTAGGTTATTACTAGGAGCAGGTGAAGTTGGTGAAAACTGTGTTGCAGCATTCTTTGCTCATCTGTTATGTGCTTTGCAACAACTTTAACATTTCATATTTTGCAAAACTTCAAGGACCCATTTCCCTGCCCTCACTCACAAGACACCAGTTTGTGAAATTCACCTTTGGCACAAAGCTTCACACTTGCAAACTGTCACGTAGTGGTGCTGTGGTAGCCATATTTGGCAATTTTCCCAACGTGTTAAAACCACTGCTATTACTGCTACCTTTTCTCCTAATTGTTCGCAGATGCCTCAGTTGATCAGAGGAGATTTCAGAGGGCAGTTGCCCTTAGAATACGGTAAACTAAATGTGATGTAGGCAGCAGAAGAAATATGAAACAGAGGCACTGCAACAAGCTCCTGTCAGCTCAAAGTTAGAGGGTGGATGCCCTTAATGCAAGGACACACACATGGTGTACTTCATAGATGTGGTGAAAAATAAACTGCACAGAACATAAATATCAAAGACAGAAGCACAGTGGCCGAAACTCATGTCAATGTAATTCAGGCAACACTAGAAATGTAATAATTGTTCAGGAAAGAATGAACACACACACACACACACACACACACACACACACAATATTATTTTATAATTAATTTATATATCTTTTTCATCTATTTTGATGACAAAGATATATAAATTAGGAAACAAAGCAAGGATCAAATACTAGTGCTGTTCTGATTTTTAAACATACCCCACACATATTTATTATTTCTCAAAAAAATAAACAAACAGCCCCCTTAACTAGAACTAGTTGCTCAGAGAAATGGAGACCAAATGGCTTCTGAGAACCCTCCTGATCACATGATGTCATCTCACCCAATTAAGAAACCAGATCTCGTACCATGGGACTTATCATAGAAATGTAGGGCTGGAAGCTACCTTGAGAAGTTATCTACTCCATCCTCCTGTACTGAGGCAAGACCAAGTATACCTAGATTATAATGACCAATCACAACCAACAAACCCAGCTTGGAAACAAAAAAATACAATACATAGTTTTGCCATGACATTTTCAGTTATTCTAATAGTTAAAAATGAATTGTGTGAAATTTGAAACTTAGCATCTCAAAAATGCTGGAAGTTTACAGATGTGCCAATGTCAGTGAAATATTTTCTTGACTAAAAATTTGCCCACCTCTTCTTACCACCCATCATACAAGAAAAAATCGCTTTCCGGATTATTATTCTTGCTACAATAAATAGTTTGTGCATAATTTGTTTTTAGTTACAATGCACCGTACTGAGCTCATGAATAAATTCAACTTCTAACTTACCTTGCCAAAGCTTCCCTTCCCGATTGCTCGGAGTATCTGGAAGTGGTCAAAATTCACTACAAAGTAAAAACAAAAGAGTTTTAGTTTCCCATTTCCAGATATTTTCCTACCAACTTCTTAAAAAAAAACTCAAAAAGAAAAAAAAGGAAAAGAGATGAGTAATTGATAAAAAAGTACATTTCGCCAGTTGGACAAGTTGTTGCCAAAAGATCAGTATGTTCCAGAGAAGATTTTTGTTTAAAGAAAACTAGTGGGGTGGGCCCTTTGTATCAGCTTTAAAATTAATTGCTTTATAGGGACTCAGTCCCTCTTAGCCTGCTTATGGCCAGAATCTTCTAGTTTCTGACTCCTGAAGTTCCTTTTAATCATGGTTCCTGGATGTCTCATACCCTCTATCTACAAAAATAAAAGGATCCAGCTAGAACCCAACTCTGATACTCTTATAGTGAGCAATGCCTCACTCCATGAGGAGTTGATTTCAGTGAAACTACGTGTGGAATATGGTATGGTATGGTATTCTGTGTTGGTATCACAGAATGTGTTGGACCATAGAGACTCTGACTGGCCTCTGAACAGTCCTTACCAAGTCCTCTTTCTCAGCTGATGTTGTTTGACTTTCACCCACAAATTGCACTGAAAATGCTCTCTAGTGTAGTTAGCAGTGTGCTTAATTTTTAAAAAATTGTAAATGTATGTAGAGATTTTAAAAAACAACTAAAACTCAATTGATTTCAAGATAATGTCCACAGAGTATGAGGACAGGCACTTATACACATGAATAGTAATATATAAATAACAGTTTGTTAAGTCACATACCAATATTAAACTGGTGTAACACAAGTAAAAAAAAAACACCCACAAAACACAAAAACTTAACCTATTACAAAAAGGGGACAGTGAATGAATGCATTCGTGTGTTAAAGGTTGTATGGAGGGAGGGCTCAGGGACACAATACAAACAAGTCCCACTGCTAAAAATATCACAATGCTTTTGTAATCCATAGTTATAGATGGCTGCTGTTCTTGTACATGAAGAGCTTATTACTTTGCATGCAAGTGCTGCAGCCAGTTTGGCTATTACTTGCTCTATCAAGAAGCCAACACGTTAAGGATGGGCCATTGACTTCTATTCTCTGGATTTCTGTATCCATCTGTACTTTAGCTGCTAGTGATTCCAGAGACATAACGAAAAGTAATGGGGAGTGGTGAGAGTGTTAATCTAATACTTTAATTAAGTGCAATGTTGCTATGTCAGCAGCCATAGCAACTATAAAATTATGATTACTAAATTACTGCTGTGATCTAATCTCTCCAAAAATTAATCTCAAATGAAAGGTGCTATGTAGTCCTTCTGTCTACCTAAGTAATGATATATCTCTCAGTACCATAGATTTTGAATACTTCAATGACATTAACAGACATATTATCTCTGATGATGATGATGGTCACCTCAATTTCGAGGGCAATGTTGACAATCATAGTTTTGTACAAATGGGTCTTTGCATGACTCCATAGACCAATTCGGGAAGAACAACATTACCCCACTGGCCACGGAGCCATTTGCCTAGTTGTGTTGATTGCCCTGCACATTGTTTCTGTGGCTGGTGCTGTGCTTCCTGCTGCTCCACGTGATTTTTCTCAAAGTTGTGGATACCCGCCCTTATGGCGTGGTGCCACACAATATGATCAATCGACAGTTGCTCAAAGGTTGAATAGGAAATGTTCATCTTGCACAGATTTTCTTTCGGGGTGTATTTGAAGTATTTCATCTGACCTCCATGCTTATGATGGCCAGAGCTTAATTCAGAATATAAGACTTATTTTTATATTAAGTCTTAAGCCTGGGTCTCAGGCATTCGAATTACATGGCTAGTCCATCTCAACTGGGCACAGACCAAATGAGCCTCGATGCTGACCAAACCAGCTTTCACCAGAACTTCAGTGTTGGAAACCTGGACCTGCCATTTGATGTCCAGCAATCGTTGTAGGTGTTGCAAATAGAACCGCTCAAGCTTTTTAATGTGTCATTGAAAACAGGTCCATGTTTTACACCAGTAGAGCAATGTCATGAAGACATCATAGACTTTGTTTTTTGTCTGGATACAGATTCCATGTTGCTTCCAGATTAAGTGATAGAAGCGACCATATGTGGCACTGGCTTTCTTAATTCATGGTCAATTGTTGCTTCATTGTTCAACATGCTGTTGAAATAGGTAAACTTACAGCGTAGAGCGTGGTACCTTCCAGTCTTATTGACAGGTCTTGGTAAGGTTGTTTAGGAGCTGGCTGGTATATAACCTCAGTTTTCATTCAGCTGATCGTGGGACCCAAGTTATGAGGCGCCGCAGCAAAGCAGTTTGCAAGATACAGAGTGCGCCATCAAGGCACAATCATCGGCATAGAGTAGTTCCTGGATCAATGTTCCTATCGTCTTGGTGTTTGCATGTAAATGGGAAAGACTGACGAGCCTACCAGTGCGGAAGTGTATAAAGACACCATGTGAAGCATCACAAAGGGCTTCCTCTAGCAATGCAGCAAAGAAAAGACCAAAATAGCTAGCAGCGAGGACACATCCCTGCTTCACCCCATTCATGATTGGAAATAGCTATGTTTGCACTAGCTCTTCCAGCCATGCCTTCATGGAATTGCTGAATTATGTTAATACATTTGTCTGGACATCCAAATTTACTCAGCAATTTCCAGAGGGCAGTGCAGCTGACCATATCAAATGCCTTAGTTAGATTGAGAAACAAGATGTTGGTGCTATTCACAACATTTTTCCTGTAATTGTCGAATGATGAAAATCATGGTTGCTGAGCATGAAAGCCACACTGTGACTCAGATAGAACATTGTCGATTATTTGGGTCACAAATCAGTTCAAGAGGATCTGTGCAAGAATCTTGCCAGCCATGGAGAGCAAAAAGGTACCATGGTAGTTACCATAGTCACTCTTTGAGCCTTTACACTAATAAATAGTGACAATGTTGATATCTTTCAGTTGTGACAGTATAACTTCATGTAAAAAAATTCAAAGAACTTGTCAATTGAGACAATTTCCTCCATGTTTGAAAACCTCAGCTGGAATGGCATTGGGACCAGGGGATTTATTATTTTTCATTACTTGAACAGCCATCAATACCTCAGCTTGTGTGGGTGGATAGGCAAGTGCAGTAGATGTAGGCAGTTTATGGACATTATCCAGTGACTCCTAACAGTAGATGAATGATTAAGTAGTTTGCTAAAATGTTCACACCACCATTGGTGGATGGCAATACGATCTGTGATGAGAGATTCATCATCAGCATTTGTTAGTGGTACTAAGGCAGATTGAGTAGACCCATACACAGCTTTGACCACCTCATAGAAACCTTTCAAGTCATGATTATCAGCAAGCGCCTGTAGTTCCTCTGCTCTACAGTCAAACCACAAATTTTGTATTTGCTGGAGTCTGTGTTAGAGCATTCTGCAAGCTGCCCTATATCTGGCCTTTTCTGACCCAGAGTGCAGGTCAGCTAAGAGTGCAGCATTCACTTATCACTTGACATCAAGGAGATTCAATATTTCAAGGCCATTATAATTGAACCAGCCTGCATGACAGCATTTCATATACCCAACACAATCTACAAAGATGTTAAAGATTATGTCCCATGGGGATACCCATTCGGCAGATATGTCATCACTGATCACTGGATATTAATAAATGTATCATCCCTACATCCCTGGGAGATGGAGAGGTATTACTATCCTCATTTTACCAATGGGGAACTGAGAGCCCAAGGTCACTCAGGAAGACTATGGAAGAGCCAGGAATTGAACCCAGATCTCTTGAGTCCCTGGCCAGTTCTTTAAACCAAATAAACATCTTTCCTTTCTGGGGCCCTGATCCAAAGCCCAATGGCTGCAAAAGATTCTTGGATTAGGACCAAAATACAAAATATTGTTACAGGGCCCACTCCTGAGGTCCTCACTCAGCTCTTTCTCAGAAAAATACCCATTGACTTCAGTAGGATTTTGACAAATGAAAATGGATACATATTCTGGGCCAGACGCTGATTAGCCCTGGCCTCAGGGAAGTACTGAGAGGGAGAGGGAATCAGTCTCCCCTATAGCAGCATCTCCTCTTTGTGGGAGCCTGCAGCAGGCTCTCTGAAAGTCAGGGTGGGGAGGTCCATGGAGTATCATCCTTCCTGGCAACCTGCTGGGATTCTATGGGAATGTTCACTAAGTTCTTGCTAAGCCCCCTTTGTGCTGAGAACCCCTTTTGTAAGCAAGGATCCAGGGTTTCTCAGCTAGAGGAAGCTCTGGCCATGCTTCCAGGGAGCTGGGAAGGCTCAGAACCAATGGGCATGCCCAGAGCCACTATGAAGATGGCCCTGTGCCTCCTGTGGATCCATGAGAGCAGCAGAATATGAAGTCTAGAACCTTGCTCCTTCTGCAGTGTGACAAACCCTAACTTTTGCAGGAGGGAATTTGGAGCCACAAGAGGAGAATATTGCTGAGTTACCTCCTTTCCTGCTCCCTTCCCATTAGACTTAGAGGGAACAGTCTGGCCCTGAGTAAGGACCCAATGATTTGATTTAGTATTAAATAGTAACATTTAATAAATATTCAAGTTAAAACACACAGCTAGACTACAGCTCTAAGAGCTAGCATATATTTCTGAGATGTTTTTGACAACGGATCTACATTTTTCACATACAGACAAAACTATTATATGAACCTCCGTCTATGAGAAATACATACACAAGATTAGATTAAAGTGAGCACATTTTAAGCACAGTAAATTTGTTTTCTTGGCAATTAAACTACAGGACATGGTTTCATGATCTGGGGAATTCCTAGGAAGTTTTATTCCTGAAGCAATATTATGGTTATTTATTACAAAGACCAAAATTCTTATGTCTGAAACGGCATTGTTACATAAAAACACTTTTTTTTTTTTTTGGTATCCATGACTACAAATGAGCTAAAAGCACATTTTAGTCCATAGTCAAGATATAACTTCAAATATGCACATCAACTACATATGCCCTTGAGCTAATCTGTAAAG